ACAGAAAGTTGAAAGCAAGCGAAGCTGCAGCACATATAGTCTATGTCAACCCAAACCCATACAAATATAAAAGGGTTCGCTTTCTTGGTAATTTTTTTTTACGCCATGAGTCGTTTCCACTTTCCCATCGCAGTAGACATCAAAAATATAAACGGTTAGTTGATGATGAAGATGTGGCGCTAAAATGTAGGCAATGGATACGTGAAGAATCAGAGGTAAATGGCGTTAGTCTATCCCAGTTTAAACAATACATTGATTCTGCCATATTACCTGAGTATACAGGAGGGACAAGGAAGTCAATTAGCCTGAGAACGGCTAAAAGATGGTTGAATGTTTTAGGTTGTCAGTTTAAAAAATACCGGAAGGGTATGTACTTTGATGGACACGAACGAAGAGACGTTGTTGAATATCAGAGTAAGTTTTTAGAGGAAATAAAGAATTTAGAGCGACGGATGAAGACGTATGAAGGAGAAAAAATGGAACCGGTCCTACCGATGCTTGGAGTAGGAGAGCAAGAGCTGATTTTTATCACTCATGATGAGTGCATTTTTTATTCAAATGATGGAAAAAGAGGGATCTGGGTGTATAATGGGATGATGCCATTGCGTAAGAAAGGTAATGAAAAATCGATTATAGTGAGTGAATTTATTTTGGAAGCATGTAGCAGATTACAACTAAGTGAGGAAGAAAAACAAAAAAATCCTAATGTTCCTGCAGAAGCGCGCTGTTATTTAAAACCCGGTAAAAATGAAGAGAATTACTGGACAATCGAACATTTATTAAACCAAATCCAAAAAAAAGCCATCCCTATTTTTGAAGCAAAATTTCTTGGTGCAATGGCTGTTTTCGCTTATGACAACAGTACAAATCACGTGGCATTTGCAGATGATGCTCTTATAGCGAAAAAAATGAACAAAGGACCCGGAGGAAAGCAAAATATTATGTATCCGACAACCTTCATTGATATCAATGGCCGACGAAAAGAGCAGAAAATGGTATTTGAGGAGGATTACCCCGATCCCAATATGAGAGGAAAGCCAAAAGGAATAAAAAAGGTGTTAGAGGAAAGAGGACTTTGGAAAGAAGGGTTAAATTTAGATTGTGAAAAGTGTAAAAAAAAGGAGGATTCAGGTCGAATAGATTGCTGCTTGAGAAAAATTATGGCCTCTCAACCAGACTTTGTCACCCAAAAGTCTGCTATTGTGGAATTAATTGAAGGTGCTGGTCATATCTGCATTTTTTATCTGAAGTTCCACTGTGAACTTAACTTTATTGAAATGTATTGGGGTTCAGCTAAAAGATATGCGAGAGATCACTGCGATTACACATAGACTGGCTTGCAAGAAACTGTTCCACAAACGCTTGATTCAGTAAATGTCATTACAATTAGGAAGTTTGCTCGCAAATCGTGGAGATATATGGAGTTATACTGTGAAGGGTTAACAGGAAAGTTAGCAGAATATGCGTGTAAAAATTTTAAATTCCATAGAAGAGTTCCTCAAAATGAATTGGATTTATTTGTGCAAGAAAATAAGGAAATAGATTGTGTTCAATAAATAAATTTAAATAAAATTAAATGCGATTAAAATAAATAAATGTAATAAAATTAATATGCAAAGATAAATATAAGTGAATTTAAATAATGCGGTTAAAGAAAATAAATAAATAAAAGTTAAATTTAAATAAAATTTAATGCACAATTAAAAAAAAATTAAAATTTAATG